ATGTGTAAAGTGATAAAGATGTTCCTGTCTCGCCCCGAGTGTCAGCGTGTTGACTGAGGCAGAGGGCACCGCTCATGGCGCTACCAGAGGCGATAACTTTGTCTCCGTTGGGTCTTCCAGTGCTCTCATTGCACCCGTGACCTCTCTCTTTAGCCGCTCCTCTCTGCGTGAAGCTGGTTTGGGTAGGACTGGGCATTTTCAGAAAGCTGCCTACCTTGCTGAGCAAGGATGATTCTGACAGCACTTATTTCACTTGAAATGCAGGGTGTTTCCTTACAACTGTGCCAGCTGCTTTGCTGAATCCGTTGCAGATCCCAGAGCAGCCCGTGACTGCTCTGGGCAGGAGGCTGCTCTGCCCGTGCTTGAGAAAGCGACTGCGGTGCCGCGGGCTCAGCAGAGCTCGTACGTGCAACGTCCCAGTGGTGCAAGTGGGGCTGTGTGGCCTTACACCACCCAGCTGATTCATTTGTCTCCTGCTCCGAGGCCGACTGCTGGAGCCAGACCTTCCCGACGTGCTGGAGGAACGGCTTGTGGCGCGCTCCCGTTGCGCGGTGGTGGCGGAGCTGCCAGGTGAGGCCCGTGGCTGTGTTGGTGATGCTCCACTCCTCGCCGTGCCGGAGCTCCCAGAACAGCCCTTTGCACTCGGGATTTCCGAGCTGTCCGTGGGGAGGCTCGGGCTGGAAGGCAGCTCGGAGGCGAGATCCGAGGGCAGGAAGTGACTGGGCGGTGCTGTGCGCAGGCGGGTGAAGGCTGGGTGCAGCACCGCTCCAGGGGGTGCGACCCGGTGACACGCGGCACCGTTCTGGCGAGCCGCCTCCGGCCTCCCGCCCGAAACGGTCTCCTTTACCGGCAGGTGGGGGATGTTGTGCCCCCGCGCCGGGGCTGCAGCCGTGCTCGTGGCTTTGGGAGCAGAGCAGGAGGGTGCAGGCAGGCAGAGGGCGAGGAGGGGCGGAGGAAGCCCCGGGGAGCTGGTCCCCGCCGTCCCGGAGAGCCCAAGCTGGCCATGCCGGCCCCTGGCTGGGGCGTGCAGCGACCCTGAGCACATCCGCAGGAGTAGAGTCAGGAAACATGGACTGAAAATGTTGGTAGCCTAACGGAGGGGCTGGAGCTGCTCCTCGGAGCCAGCAGCTGGTTTCCCTTTTAGGGTCGGCGGCGGGCAGAAACAATTTCACACAGATTCCAGGACCCGTAATGGTTCTGGAAAGCCAATGGGAACAAAAAGCGTTCGTCTCCTCTTCTGACCTTGGAGCACGTTGAGGACCGTCTTCCAAAGCCTTGTCCCTGGACAGTTTCATCCTTACATGGGGAACGCTCGCCCGTCCCAGCGAGGTGCTCGCTTCTGCGCGTCTGTTTAGGTGTGAACTGAACTGCAACTGCACGAGCGGTGCTCGGAGCAGCCCGGGGAAGGTGAGAACGGGCAGGAAGCTGACAGACAATCCAAGGCAGGTCTGTTCCTCTGTCCTGGAAAGATTAAGTGTTTCCCTAGGAATAGCCTTCTGGGTCACTCTAGGATCAACTTCGTGGAGCATCTGGTTGTGACCTGACAACAAACTGGTGTGAAGTTACACAGGGTTATAGGTTCACCATGAAGACGAGACCTCTCGCTGAAGAAGTTCGTTGTGGCAGGAATCGTCTCAGAAGGCTGGTTTAAACTCTGAAGCGATTGCGCGTAGCAGAAAGCCTGGCCCTGGACAGCCTGTACTGCCTCCTTTGCATAAGAGGTCCTGGGTTTATAGACACTAAAATTAATGCAATAATCTCCTGGGGCTGTTGCTAAGACATCTGCTCTGTTGCTGCGGGCGATGACTCCGGGGTGGTGTTAGGTGATGTTACTCTCTAATTAGAAAGTGGACTCTGCTGTGCGTGCTTGACAAATTGCTGACCTTTCTCATACGTGAAGCTATTCCAAGCTCTGTTCCAGACTGATCAGATTTGCATCCCGGAGCACTTTAAATGTTGTTTGTGAGAGGAGCTCTTGTTCCCAGAGCTGTTTGTTCACGGGCACAGGAGAGGAACTGAACTTCCTTTCCTCCATGAGCACAACTATATCTGTTGAAGGGAAAGGGTGAGCAGCTGGCAGGCGTGTATCTGTTGTTTATTTTTGCCCCCGGACAGCCAGTGAGACAGCTGAGAGAATACCCCACGTCCAGCTCCACTGTCCCCACGTACGAGGCACCTGCTGCAGTAGACTTTGTCCCACAGGGACCACAGCCATCTGGTAATGGGCAGGCAAGCACTCTTTGCAACTGGAATCCCATCATTTTCGGGCAACACCTTGATGAGTATTTGAAGGCGTGACTTACGTCAGCCAAGCACACAACCAGTGTTTACAGGGTGGTGCAGACTGCAGGCTACGCACGCGTGCTAATTAGCACGCATAGGGACTGCCTTTGTTGTGCCTTCTAAACCTGAGCCTCAAATTAAGTGGTTTTTTTAATGCATTTTAAAACTCCATCTCCTTTCTTCATGAATGGAGACACCATCCAGGTTCCTGATTACAATCACAGTAAGAATTGTGGGCTTTTGTACTATTTCTTTTACTCGATTTCTTTTGTCTCACCTTCCTCTTCTCCATGAACTTGGGCTGTGGCAGTGCCATGTCCTCAGGGGCGAGGATGCAGTTTGCTTTGGCACTGCATCGGGCTTTGACGCCCCTGCCCAGCACTATGCAAGACCAGAACAGAGCGAGCAAACAGCTTATCTAGTACAAATAACCCCGAGCAAACTTCCTGGGCCTGTTCTTTTTTCTGTAGAAAAGGCAGCGCAGAGTCTGATCCCGTATGCTCGTGGCCACGTGACGCTTTTGGGACATGCTCTGCTGGCAATCCGCGTGTCTGCCAGCCCGCGCCAGCTCCGCAGCCCAGAGAGTAGGAGCTTGGCTCACACCACGTGCAACAGGCGTAGAAGCCCCTCAAAGCGGAGGCACGCTGCTTTAGGGTCTTCCTTGGTATATAATTTTCAGAGTGTTTGTATGGTTTTCACTTCCTCCTCTGCGGTCGCTGTGTTGTGCACCCCGCTGGGAGCGGCACGGCGGGGCACCCACCGGCACTGCCCGCGG